TCTGCTCATGATAGCCTGCTGTAGTTTTGAGCCAATGTACGTGTGGGGCTTAGTTACAGCAGAGTTGGAATCTAAAATCTAAGCAATGCCACTGTCGGTATAACGCTACATTGTCCTTCCTCGATGCTCACCAGGGTTCTAAAATTGACCCTGGGAAAAGCCTAAGCCTTGTTGGAAAGCCCACAATAGAAACTTGAGCCTAGTCTCCAGGACAACGATGTGAGGCATTTCAGCTACCGAGGCTCATCAGTTGGGGTCCTCCCCGATCATCACCCCACCCCGTAAGATTGCAACGCTACTATCATACTCTGATCCTACCCTGGGATAGAAGAAGCACCAATAGCACTAATTAAAAGCCGCGTCTGAATGTGGACCTACGACGATACAGTTCTGCAATGAAAACCTCTCCGATGACCCACGACCCCGAATATTCTTCGCCTTCAAACTATCTAACCGCTAAGTGGCCGGGAAAAGCCATGTTTTCAAAGATTACTAGATCGTCTCCGCATCTGCTACGTTATGCATTACCTCCACCGGGAGTTATCCGAGCTGAGCGTGAGCGCATGTCGATCGATTATGTCATTGTAACCCCGCGGGGGCCCGCCCCACCGGAAGCTTGAGGCGAAGGTTCCGGTGGGCTCTCCCCTTTCTAGAGCATTTTTCCGTGATTTCAATTGCCGTTGTCTTGCGATCTGAAAGGTATTTTGTCGGGCTATTTAACCCATCTTCGCTCATGAACAGGAATCGGCGCTTGATCTACATATTTTCCATCGCATGACCAATTTGTTGGCCAACGTTTTGTCCCCCGTCAGGATGGCCTATTTTTTGGCATTTATTCTCGTGTTACAAGTGGTTCTAGCCTCCTCTTTCTCTACTATTAAGGTCCCACTCGATAGCTCTAGAAGGATCCTTAGGCCCGATATCTACGGCTATTCCATAGAACCCTCTTCTGTTGATCCGTATATCCAGAGTAACTTGACCTCAAACATATTGAAGAACATTGCCCAGATTATTGGGAAGCCGGCACCAATCAGAGTCGGAGGAAATATCGCAGATCAGACGCAATTTGAGGCCAATTTGAGAACGCCGTCGTCTGCTCTACCGAATGACACCGAAGTGGAAGTTTTCCGCATTCGCAAAGACTGGTTCGCCGGCTGGAGAGATTATTTCCCAAGTGGAACAGATTTTGTTTACACGCTGAACCTACGTAACACCACTGGTTCTTGGTCAACTGCGATGAAAGAAGCTGAAGCCGCGATTGACATTCTTGGCAAATCTCTTTCCCTCTTCGAGCTTGGCAATGAGATCGATCACTACGTCTCCAAAGGCTGGCGTAAACCGGGTTGGGACACAAAGCAATATATAAGCCAGTGGCACAACCTCACCAATCAAATCCTGTCGTCCGCGTTCTACAAGCAAGCGAAGCGGAAGCCGCACTTTCAAGCAGCGGTATTTGCAGACCCTCCATCGGTCCCGGATCAGCAGGATGAGGTCGACGATTTCGATATTATCAATGTAACTCGTGCTGGACTGGTTGATACCAGCATTATCCAAACCTACGCAGTTCACCTCTACCCTCAGTCGACGTGCGATGCAGCACGCGAGAGCCGGCTCTCTCTCAATTTGCTTTCAGATCACCAAGTCATTTGGACCAATCTTTCTCAATATATCCCACAAGAGGCCGCTGCTCAAGCGGCTAACAGACCACTTATTCTCGGCGAGGCTAATTCCGCTTCATGCAGTGGAAAGAGCGGCATCAGCGACACTTTTGGTGCTGCGTTGTGGGGAACAGATTTCGTCCTAACAGCAGCGAGTATCGGGATCGAGCAGGTGTATTTTCATCTGGGTCACCAGAGTGAATATTCAGCATTCACGCCCTTGTCCTACGAATATAAAGGTGAGAACCTTTCCGCTGGGATCAGAGCAAATTTTTACTCGCACATGTTCCTCGCACATGTCTTAGCGGGCAACAATGGGTGGCCCTGGGAAATAGCCGCTTTGCCAACCGCAAATGCTTCAGACTTCAGTGGCTATGCTATATTTGCAGGCGACCAAAAATTAAATCTCGAGAAGCTCGTCTTTATCGATTTGGGGGTATGGAATTCCACCCATGGACTGCATAACCCCTCGACTTTGTCCTTCACGGACTCTGAATTTGCCTCTTCTGGTACCCGGCCTCAGCGAAAAGTGCAGGTACATACTCCTTGGAAACCAGGGACAAGGATAGAAATCCTGAAGCTACAGGGCCCAGGCACTAATGCCAAGAGCGACATCAACGTTTCGGGTGTCAGCCTGGATTCCAGGACAGGTAATTTGCGAGGCCAAAGAAAAAATGAAGAAGGAATTGTTCAAAATGGTGGTCTTGTGCAGACTGAGCTTCTTCAGACAGAGGCAATTTTGATACAGAAGGCTTAGGAAGTCCGCCTGTGGGGGCTCGGGTTCCCGATGTTAATGCAAACTTTTCCACCAGGTTCAACAGATTCATTAAATATAGTGAGGATCCCCAGTTCTACCTATATAATAACGACAATCTATAAATTCAATGGTTACTTCCTTGTCCCTACTTTCTTGGTTTAGGCCCGAATCCTCGATTCACCTCAGAAATCGCTCTCAAAATTCCGGCATCCCGATAGTAGATTCTAATTCTTTCTTTCGGATGACTAGGATAGAAAATGGCGTGATATATATCGTATCTCTTTCCGTAAGGCAGTAGTTACACTACTTGAGTAATCAAAGGCCAGATGATATTCTGCTGTTCGAAGGGTATGACTCTCGGGAGCAGTCGAAAGCGAAGTGTAAGTGACTGTCTTACTCTGCTATACGGCCACGCTGATCTTATGCTTCGCAAGGCTGTCCTCATGTCTCTTTCCGTCCTACCAAGATTCCAGATATGCCGAATCCGCGCGAAAGCATTGAAGTAACGGCTATTGTCTTCTCGGAATAAAAGAGAGAGGACGGAGTGAAGGGGATTGCCAGGAAATTGATTAAACTCGATGGCTGGGGTGGTTTAAAACGCCACATGCGCTAGAGTAACTATGTAGCAAGGGATATAACATTCGCTCCTGAATCGAATATCTAAATTTCTCGCATGCTTTGATGAATCTTGGAATACCACCTTTTGTCACCTTCTTCTATTGCCCCTTGATGTCGGCCAATTTCCGGATCTTGAGTTGGTACAGCTCATGTTGTTTTATTAGACCTTTACCAGAAACTGAAACGTCCTCAAAGATTTCATCCAAACTCTTTTCTGTATCGATGTAGAGTCCGCTTAAAATCCTAGCTTCAGGAAGTAAAGCTAGGGTAACGCAGAGGTCCGCGGTCACGCGAGGATCGCAAGTCGAGGTATCTTTGAGCGTCTGTACCCGTCTTGCAAGCTCGGGGTCTTCTGAAGCTGTATTTGGATTTATTGCTCCAGGCGCAGCAAGTATATTGGTATCAACGTCTCCAGGTTGCACCACGAAAGTGCTGATTCCTCGCGCCCATACCTCTCGGCATTGATGGAACTGCATTAAAGCAGTTTTTGAGCAAGCATAAGCGGATAGATATTTGGCACTTCCTCCACAGAGTCGATTTCAGATACTGATGATCGTTCCTGTGCCCTGTTCCAGCATACATGGTAATAAGGCGCGGGTCAAGGCAACAGGGCCGAGGAGGTTGACTTCCATTACTCGCCACCAATCCTGCATGTTCACATTTTCGACAAGGTCGAATTGTACGACACCAGCATTGTTGTCGATAGCGTCAACGCGACCATAGCGCGCTTCTATCTCGCGGGCAACGCTCATGACCTGGGTGATGTCTGAAACGTTGGCAGTCCAAATGTCGACACTGATCTTGTACTCGCGGATCAGCTCTTGTGCCAGGTCTTCCAGCTCTGGTGCTGATCTCACGATGAGAAGAGCGACGATCCAGCCTTTTCAAAAGAATGTGCAATTGATACACCGATGCCTCTGCTCGCTCCAGTGATGACCACAACGGATTCTTTGAGCTTCACGGTGGTCGACATTGTGGTACTGTACGCGACCGCAATGTATTTCGAGGAAGATACCCAATTATCTGTTCGACAAGAATATCGATTTTAGATTTCACGATCTTCCTATCTTCAAGTGTAGATTTGTCGACAGAACTCCCTCCAACCAGTCTGATTCATCTTCTTACTCGGAAATTCGGAGCCAGTATTCATCTATTTTTGGGGACAGGCCCACTTCTAATGCGACACCAAGCACTAACAAGCACTTACAAGCATTTATCCGTCGACATCTTGGCGGCATGCCTTGATCCACGCCACAGAGGTCTCTTTCTAAGTGTGAGCGATATTATGCCACGAATCACAAGTCTGTATTACGAGAAGCCAAACACAGATTACCCCGCCCTCTAAACTAGAACCGAAAATAGTGAGCCTTGCGAGTCATGCACAGGTGGTTGCAGGAGTCACATCAATATCGGGCAAGCCACACTCCGTCGGACCCCGTTGATGGCCCACACCAAGGTGATCACCGCTAGTGTATAGCGTCTTATCCGGTATAATTACGGTATTGTCTTTTTACTCGATGTGTCCTTTGATATTTCAGTTGATGTGGTAACTGACGCCATAGATACCCATTACAAGACAGACCGCTCTTGCTTCTGTAGTTGTGTTTCTTGCTACGGCGAAGGACTTTAATAAATTTCGTAGTCAGCTGTGGATGTATTACCCGCTATTTATAGGGGTTGACTTGGCAGATGGCGGTGAACCTTAGATGTAGGAAATTGAGATTGCTAAGTGACCGGTATATATCAAGATCTAGGAGCAAAATAGCCTACTTGATCAAGAAAGAAGCGAACTAGACAAAGAAAAGCGGTCTAGTAACTGTAGAGGAACGGAAAAGAGCAACTGAGAGAGAGCTGCCATAGCCATCGCTGGTCAGCTGACCAAGGGAGTCACCAAACGCCAGCGCAACCTTAGACTCTCTCATTCACGTCCATCATAGTTTGCCAACCAGAATGTCTCCGAATCTTCTATGGAAAACGAAGTTGCAGTGGCCGATGTGAGAACGACACAGGAAGTTCAAGAAGCGGAGAGTACGAGCAAGTATGTCAAGTTCTCAAGTGTGCTCTTACTCTCAATCGTACTGTGCTTGGCGACATTTTGCGTAGCAGTGGACAATACTATAATTTCGACCGCCGTCCCTCGGATTACCCATGACTTCCACAGCATTGACGATGTGGGTTGGTATGCAGCGTAAGTTTCCCATCATCCGTCAATCCCGAGGTGAGACTTTTGGAAAACATTAACGGATCCTATAGAATTTATCCATTGACTTCCTGCGCATTCCAACCTTCGTACGGCAAAATCTATAGCCTCTTCTCCAGAAAAATCGTCTTCCTGTCAGCATTGCTGATATTTGAAATCGGAAGCGTTGTATGTGCTACTGCACTGAATTCCCATGTTTTCATTCTTGGGCGGGCATTAGCAGGTCTGGGTTCTGCTGGGATACAAGCAGGCACTACACTCATCCTCGCTGAGTGTGTTCCGCTACGCCAGCGACCGACATGGAACAGCATCATTGGTAGCATGTTTGCAGTCGGGAGCGTGGTTGGACCTCTACTGGTATTTACATATTCCTTGTCTGTGAATACAGTGATTGACAGTTAGAGTAGGGAGGTGCCTTCTCGGATTCAACTACGTGGCGTTGATGTTTCTATATCAATCTCCCAATCGGAGGCGCTGTCATGATCTTCATCGCCTTTTTCTATGACGGTAGTCGCGGCGGCAAAAGAACATTTGACTCGACTGGATTTCGCAGCCATATCGCGCGCTTTGACTTGGCTGGTACTTTGATCTTTGTTTCGGCAACGATTTGTTTTCTCTTAGCACTCTCATGGGGTGGGATCACATATGCATGGGACAATGCCTGCATCATAGCCCTGCTAACGGTCGCTGGTGTGCTATTTTGTTCTTTTATCGGGGTCGAATACTGGATGGAAGATAGCGCCATCATTCCTCTACGCTTACTACGCACGCGAAGTATAGGCGCAGCGATCCTTTTTGGCCTCTGTCTTGGGAGCGTATTCTTTGTACGTTGTTCCAACGCAGACTTCATGTTACATCTGGCTGACCAAGATCCTATCGCTGTTCTAGGTGAATGTTTTCTATATACGTGAGTACTGAAAATAGTGGGAAAAATGAAAGATAAATACTAATCTGGATTTCAGCGATATGGTTTCAAATAGTCCATGGTGTCTCCGCCGTCGAATCTGCAATCCTGTTCATCCCATTCATGCTCAGTGTCGTTGGTGGATTCATGTTCGCAGGTTTTGGGACCGCTATAACCGGATATTACACACCTTTCGTCTACGCTGGCTCAATTCTCATGTCGATAGGTACTGGCCTTCTGATGACTGTTCAGCCTCATCACACCTCGCGAGCCAAATGGGTCGGGTTTCAGATCCTGTGCGGAGCCGGAATCGGCTTAGGAGAAGAGCAAGGACTATATATGGTGCAGACGACGCTTCCCGAAAATGATGCGGCAACTGGTATCGGCCTGATCCTGTTCGCACAGACGCTCGGCGGAGCCCTCTTCGCGTCAGTTGCACAGGCAGTTTTCCTGGAAAACATCAGCAAGGCACTGAAAACACTGGCCCCAAACCTGGACCCCAAATCTGTTTTGAACGGCGTATCCACGGGCTCTTCTCAAGAATTGCAAGCGGTCTATGGATTGGCGATCAAAGATGTTTTCCGTGTTGGGCTTATACTAGGAACGGTCTCGAGTCTAGGCGCCGTGCTGTACGACTGGAAAAGTCTAAAGACTAAGCATGACTATGGAAACCATGAATGTAACAGTAATCATGAGCTCGAACATGTGGTGGAAGTTCAAACAAACGATAAATAGAATATGAACCGAACACCATACAGACAGAAAGTAATAATTAAGGCCACTACGGTACTACCACCTAGCTGTACATCAGTCTACAATCTTCGAGCGCAAACCACTTCCTTCTCAAAAATCTTTCCTTTTGCCGGTTGATTTAGCTGACATGAATCCTTCTTAGCGCCTGAAAATGCTTATGCAACGGCCCGAGGTGACAAATATACTTATTTCGCACGATATACAAAGGCAGCCTCGGCTCTTTCAAATTGTGCAAGGGTTGCAGGTACGGGCCTCAATTCGAGCTTCCACACGACAAGTGTGAAGAAAATGCGCATGGCCGACGTAGCTTGCTTTTGACCTGCGAGGTAATTCTGTTAGTATGACCTAGGGATGAGATACCACAGATCGGAAATCTAAGCTGCAAGACCTACCAAAACAAGCCCGAACACCAATGCCTAGCATATGTCGAGAACCAGCTCGAGAATTGAAGCGTTTCTGCCCGTCGCTATCCTGGGTGAGCCAGCGTTCTGGATCAAACCGCCAGAGATCGTCTGAAGACCAATTGCCAGTCCAACCGTCGTTGGGTGCATCGCTGGCGTTGTTTTCTCCAGCACTCGAATCGTTCGTTCCTCGATGGGTATAGCTTCGTCCCCGGCTCTAGATCAATTATTAGCCTCGATCTACACACATCCTGATCTATATCATCCGCTCACAAGGAGAAAGACGGTGGTTCCCTTGGGAACATAGTGGTTCATCAGATGAACGTCTTGAGTGGTGGTTCGCACCAGAGCGGGGGTGGACCCAAAACACCGAAGCATCTCTTCATAGACAGCATCGAGATATGGTGTTGATGTTGCAAAAGCGGCCGCAGTTCCTACCCCTATACATGGCGGTCCCGGGGAGTGGTCGCATGAACTCGTCGCTGTCGATAGAGTAGCTACATAGAAAGTCGGTCAGTAGGAGCAAAACAGTGAGTGTGATTGTATTCGGTTAGAGCCGTGCGTAGCTGATAACTTCTCCCCTAGGCACTAGCTTAGATGCCGACGGATATCCTATACTATCTCGCCTTTCTTCGAGTGCCGGCGATCAAGTTTAGGCCCGTATAGTTCCGTAGCGAACTAAAGTGGACTAGAAACCCGGAAAGCCTCCGGAGGCGACTAGCGCTAACGTTATCCGCGCGATTCTTAGGTAGTTGATCGGCTATAAGGCTCCGCTGAGCTATAAATACGAGTCCTACCGGAAGGGTAACGGTAGTCTGCGCCAAAACCGACTGGTGGGTCGAGATCCCAAACCCAAACCCAACCTAAAACCCATTTCGACCCATTTCGACCCATTCTTTATATTATTTTCCGGACTAGGCAATGCCAAGCTACATAATTTGGCTTATATAATATTGATAAATTACGGGCTTTTATCGCTGTTTTAATGTGTCTGCCATAATCGTCTAGTAATACAACTGATATGTCTCTTTAACAGAGAGTAATAACTATATGAATGGTGAGTTTATTGTCAGTTATACGATATTGGAATATCATATTAATTTACTTTACAAGTGCGATATAATATATGTTGTGGTGTAAAATTGTAGAGATACAGTGACGCAGCAAAAGTTTCGACAACACCCCTATAGTGGGTCACCTTCACCGCCCTCACTGCCCTCACCGCCTACTATATGGCGCGCTTGCAGACCTACTATATCTTCGCGTTTTACGCGTTTTACCCCCCTATATCGCCCTGAAGCTACTCTTCTTTTCGTATCTACGGATGGCTCCACGCTCTGAGCTTACCCCGGCACTACGTGAACGTATTTGCGAGCTTTATAGCGCCGCTGGATGGGGCTATAGGCGAATACAGAAGCGATATCCGTGGGTTTCTATCTCTGGCATTCGATATACGGTTAAAAAGGATCGTGAACGACTCGGTGGTGTTACAAAACAACGCTCTGGGCGCCCGAAAAAGCTAGATGAAGCTGATCAAGAGCGTTTGTTGAATGCTATCGACGAAAATCCGAAGATTACTCGGGAGGATATACTTGCTGAAGTGTCGTATAAAGTTAAGTCATTTTAGCTACTATAATACGATTTCACTAATAGATTTTTAGGTTAAATATGACTCAATCCGTCGACTATTGAACGCTGAGAATATGCGGAAGTGGCGCTACTCGTGGAGGCCGTATTTGACTAAAGAAAACGCCCTAAAACGACTTCGATGGGCTTGGAGATATCGCCACTTCGCACCTGAAGATTAGGCTCGCGTTTTTTGCTCGGATGAATATACGGTCGAGCGTGGGATCGGTATTCGCCGAGAATGGACTTTTGTACGCCCGAAAGATCAGCTAAAGGCTGGACAATGTTAAGGATTGCCTCAACGCGGGAAGCAAGTGAAGCAGATGTTTTGGGCTGCGTTTTCGGGCTCTAAGCGACGTACGGGATTGATTCCTCTCTTCGGAGATCCGAGATCTGAACGAAGCGCCGTGAATCGCTTCGTTATTGAGGAGTTATATCGCCGAATATTGCCTGTTTTGATAGCGAACGAAGGTGGCATTTTTCAATATGATAATGCCCCAACACACACTGCCTACGTTGTTCGAGATGCTCTAACTGAGATGGAGATCGAGGTAATGGAATGGCCACCTCATTCGCCTGATTTAAACCCGATTGAGAACCTCTGGGCATTGTTGAAGGCCAAAATCTACGAACTTCGACCTGATCTTATTCATATGGGGAATAACGACGAAACAAAGGAGATTTTAGTGGCTACTGCGCAGCAGGCATGGGACCAACTGGAATTAAGGCATCTAAAGCACCTATCGGAAACAATGCCCCATCGTGTAGAGGCTATTATCGAAGCTCAAGGCTGGTACACGCCCTACTAGCTATATAGAAGCAAATTCATGGAGGCTTTGGACCGGCAGAATATTATATAATCAAGGGTGTGGGTCTGGGTGTTGTCGAAACTTTTGCTGCGTCACTGTATATATTTGACGTATTTGACAAAGTTGGAAGATTCCACCAACTTATACTATAGATTATACTATCACAACTACAATTTCTGACTGCGGTTAGAAATTATTTATGCGTTAAATAAAATCATCATCTGAATCATTATCTGAATCTATAAATCGCTGGTAATATATAAATTCAGATAGTTCATATGTATACAAAATACCCAAAAAAAAACCATCTAGAACTGCATAAATTATGTAGTCATGCGAAAGTCACGTTTTTACGATTTAATGGGTTTCAATGGGATTAATGGGGGGCCCTTAGATTGGGTTGGGTTTTGGGTTTTGTGGGTTTTGGCGCAGCCTACCTAAGCCTAGAAGAGATAATAGCGGATAATCTATACACTAAAGGATCGATCGACGAGCTATATATCGATTACCTAGAAATCGACTAGGACACTATAGAGAGCTAGGGATAGACGTAATATATCCCCTAGGGATTATATTCTGGATGCCTTTCCTTACTTGCTCGGCCTCTCAGCACGATCTCTAAGTACGGTGGTGGTTGTTCTCTTCTATCTTGACCCGTCTGTTTGGTCAGACTGCCGTCGGGCATTTCCCTCTTCGCTAGGAGAGCGCGAGCTACGCTCTCGGCGTTTACCATGGTGATAAATGTCGGATTTTTGCAAACCAGTAGTGTGTTCGCTGGGGCGGCGATGTACAGACTATATGTTATTCAGCCCTCGGTAGTAACGGTGGCATTACCCCGCAACGGTAGAACTAATACAGAGTGTCAAAAATATGCATGTGCATTTCTGGATATTTACCCGAGAATATCTTGAATTCCCTGCTCATTATCCTTGATCGACATCATGGTAATTTTTTCTAAGACAGGTCTCTTATCCCAACAGAGCTAAATGAAATACCAATGATTTCAGGCGTGAAGGACTAGTTCTATTATAGTATGTAATGGTGATGATCTCTCCTGTTTTCCGGTTAGGTTGTCGAATTCCCATATGGCTAGGATGAGAACAGGGTGACTTATTGGTGGAATCTTGGAGTATGTTCTGGAAAAATATTAATATTGTTGCTGCGCCTCATTTGTGTTGCAGGAACCTGAATTTATAATCAGCAGGGGTCCACGAGGCCTGTCGAAGTTTCGTTCCTTCGGCATACTTACGGAGAAATGACAGGCAATTTGAGTGGAATCAGGGAAAGATTTTCAACCAAAAAATGTTGATAATGAGAAAACAAACAAAAATGAACATAAAATAAAATAAAGCGAGGACAATGATAACTTAAGGCTGAAAAATATATTGGCATGTGGTTTAACTATCAGAGTGCTGATTTATCTTAGTTAGTAGTCCACAGTTTGAAAAAAAGTTTGGTTAGTGAGACAGGTTTCAACGGGCTCATTAAAGGCTTTTCCCCTGAGGCAGGTTCAGTTCAAGCTCACATCAAGTTCTAAAACCCAGCACTTTCCTAATTAGGTTTAGCTCCCAACTCTAGTGGAGCCATATACAGTGTCAAGGAAAGTGTCTCCATGTGAAAGTGGATCCCAGCGCGTCGCGTGATCAACTTACCTTCAACACCCAACCATGTTTCCACGAACCCATTTACGCCCTATCGATCCTAATAGGAGTAGGAATACGGAGCTTACGCCTAACCTATGAGGTCGAATTACTTCCGCACATAATCTCGGCCTTTCGTACGCGAAGATTACCGCGCGCTTCAGACTTACCGCGTCTACCGTTCGATACACCCTGCGAACGAGAAGCTTTACGCCGCGACAGTCACTCGAATGCTCGCTTCGGCCGACCGAATGCATTAACGTTCTAATCGTTCAATTATTCGAATAATTAAGCACGATTCTTTCGCCAGTTACAATGATATTCGCGGACAAAGCGGAACTGCCCTTGTGATAAGACGATACTTTCGATGCTCCGCGAGGAGAAGTACGATCATTGGAAAGCCCAAAAACGACCTCGATTAACTACGAATTGGCCGCGAAGCCCCTTGGGCTTTTAAGCAACGGGATTGGACGTTAGAAGACTGGATAAGGGTTATCTAGAATGAT